AGTATGGAGTTTCTACTGTAGTATCTAGAAATCATCCTTTACATTCATAATGAATTAATTTTAGGTAAAGGTACCAAGGCAATTCAATAGGGGAAAAAAAGTCTTTCCCTGTTTTTCTTTTTTTAAAAATAGTCTTTTCAGCAAACAGTGCCAGAACAATGAATAGCCACATGAAAAAAGATTCAGTTAGATCTTTATCTTGCATCATACACAGAAGTTAAGTCAAATATATCATACATCTAAAGGTAAAAGCTTTTAGAAGAAGCTAGAAGAGAAAATTTTTGTGATATTGGCTTAGGCAAAGTTCTTATATATATCACCAAAATCATAATCCCAGGGAGGAAAACAGATCAATTGTATTTAACTATAAAGAACAACTTTTGTCTTCAAAAGACACCACTAGTAAAATGAAAAGATAAGCCATAGACTTGGAGAAAATATTTGGAAATCATATTTAATATATGAGGAACTCTTGCAATCCCTTTAAAAGAAAACAAACCCATTAATTCGGTAAAAAATTTGAATAGATAGTTCACCCAACAAGATGTACAAATGGTTAATAAGCACATGAAAAGTTGGTGAACATCATAAGGCATTTGGAAAACACAAACACAGTGAGATACTACTTCACACCCACTACAGCAGTTAAAATCAAAGAGACAGACAACACTAAAGGGTTGATGAGAACAAGGAGAAACTATTACAGCATCCTCATTCCTGGTGGGAATGTAAAATGAAGCAGCCACTTTGGACAACAGTCTGGTGGTTTCTCAAAAGTTAAATATAGATTAATCATATGCCCCAGTAATTCTACACTTAGGTATCCACCCCCCCAAAAATGAAAACATATGCACACACAAAGCCTTGTGTATGCATGTTCATAGCAACGTTATTCATAAGGACCAACAAGCAGAAACAACCCAAATGTCCATCAACTGGTAAATAGTTTACAAAATGTCTTGTACCCATATACATACTCTTAGGCAAGACAAAGGAATAAAGTACTGATAAATGCCACAAAGTGGACAAACCTTAAAAACACATTAGTGAAAGAATCCCGATGAAAACACTATATACTGTATGATCCCATATATCTGAAATGTCCAGAAAAATGCAAATCTGTAGGAACAGAAAGGTTAGTAATTGCCTAGAATTAAGAGTGAGAACAGACTAACTGGAAATGACATGAGGGTCTTTTAGGTATGACTCAAATGTTCTAATATTGGATGTGGTAAAGGTCTCACCAATTCTGTAGGTTTATTAAAGTCATTAAATTTTCCATTTACTATGGGTGAATTTTGTGTGGTATATAAATTATACATCCCTGAAGCTGTTTTTTAAAAGATGAGGGGTAATAAAGACTGGTAAACAGAGTAAAGCCAGGGTATGAGTGGGAAAATGAGACAAATACTGACAGCCTTCATGAGGCTGATGAATTGAAGCAAGGGGAGCGAGCTCAGAGAGATTTGGGGAGCTAGCACTGAAAATTTCAAAGATGACAGGGTCTCAGGTGTGTCCAACCTGCAGCCCAAAGGACTCTGAGGACTTTTGTGAGGACTTTTTTGTCTTCTCCGTGGTGTTGGATATCACAAAAGTATGCACAGACCTTTCACTTGCTAGTCAGCTTTCATCAGTGTTTGTGTATTTACTGTGTGGCCCAAGACAACTCTTATTCTGATGTGTAGCAGAGGGAAAAAAAGGTTGGACACCCCTTTTTTACAAATAAGAAAAAGTACAGGACAATTACTTTATATTTCAAATAATTCATGAAAGATTCACAGTAGAAATTCTTTAAAATTAAACACTGCTAGAATATTTTAATGTGGCCTGATTTGAAATATTGGACTTACATATAACTTCATATGAAGTGAAGTATAACTATATATACCATGCTGGTTTTTAATATATACTTTATAGGCTTCCTAAAGTTCATTTCCTTTTTTTTTTTTGGTAGAGACAGAGTCTCACTTTATCACCCTGGATAGAGTGCTGTGGCATCACAGCTCACAGCAATCTCCAACTCCTGGGCTTAGGCAATTCTCCTGCTTCAGCCTCCCAAGTAGCTGGGACTACAGGCACCCACCACAACGCCCAGCTATTTTTTTGTTGCAGTTTGGCAGGGGCTGGGTTTGAACCCACCACCCTTAGTATATGGGGCCGGCGCCCTACCCACTGAGCCACAGGCACTGCCCAAGTTCATTTAAAAGATACTTTATTCTGAGGAGCAGAGGCATCGAGCCAGCTGAGGCATACCATACCTATTCTTGATCACTTTTTAGCAAGAGCAGGTTGGAAATGATGTCAGGGAAAATACAGAACATGAAGAACATTTTGCTGGAGGATAGGTGATTAAGCCCAATTTTAATTAAACAAATGGGGGAATAATTTTAAAGGAGCAATGTGACCCTAAAACACAGTTCATTTATCTATTGCAAGTTCTTTTTGGGCTCCATAAATAAAGATAATTACACCTGGGTAGAAAGCTCATGCTTTCTAATTTCCCTTTCTATACCAGAGAAATCACTACCTTTTACATTCTAATAGATTTTTTTAAAGAGACTGATACCTCAGGCTGCCTTCAAACTCCTAGGCTCAAGCAATCTGCCTCAGCTTCCTGACCAGCCAAGATGACAGGCACATGCCCTGTCTAACAGATATTTTTTAAATAACCAGTAAACTAGTTTAAAATCAGCTTTGAGTGAAGCAACAAAAGTACTGAATTCTGCAAACTTTGGTTTGATTTTATTTTTATGAATATAGCTTTTTCTGTGCAATGTATATACTAGTGAGAGTATAAATGAAACCAGTAATTATTCTATTTATCTATCACAAACTTTAATTTGTACTAAGTGTTCCAGTTGGATGTTTATTTCCAAAATTGCTTTTAGCATGTACTAATTTTTTATATAGATCAGATCCTGGACTCTTAATTTGTGATTTTAGCTAAAAATGAACAAAAATCACAGTTCTATTGAAAACATGTGAACAAAACAACCAGATAAAGCGTAACTCAAAATGACAAGAAAATTAGAACGTAGGATAAAAATAACATTTTGAAACTGGGTGTTGTGGCAGGTGCCTGTAGTCCCAGTTACTTGGAAGGATGAGACAAGAGAATCACTTGAGGCCAAGAGTTTAAGGTTGCTGTGAGCTATGATGCCACAGCACTCTACCAAGGGTGACAAAGTCAGACTTTGTCTCAGTATATATACACATACAAACATACATATATATAAGAAGATTTTGGTATATATTCTAAGTTTCTTCAAAAACTTAAAATACTAAAAATGATACATAAAAAATTTGACATATTACTGTGTTAGTCCCATAACATTCTGAAGCAGCAGTAATGATCTGCTCTACTTTCAGGCTAGCCTTTAAAATTTAGTCAATCCTACCACCTATGGTGGACAAAACAGATGAGATTTCCTTAGCAGATGTGGGTGGAAGCTGTTGTAGAAGCCAAGAATGAATATGGACGGTCCTGATTAAAATGGGAGAATTGGGGGTCACCTGGGCAGTATCGTCCTGCTAGTTCAATACCAGATTTCTAGGAAAAGGTCAAAGGGATTTCTGATGACAAAAATGACCATTGACCTTGTCAGCAGATTTCATTCATCCATTCATTCAGAGATTGAATGAGCATTCAGAGATTATTTCTTGAGAATCAGTTACAGCCAAGGCATTTATAATAGGTAGATGCCAGTATAATGCATAAAAAAATTAGTAGCCCAGACAATTTTTAAAATAGATTTCTTATAATAATTAGTAGGTTAAAAACAAAAACCTAACATTTAAAATACTCACTCAGCATAATATTTCAGTCATCTTGAACCTGTGGCATTTGTCATACTGATTTAACTTATTTCCTTTTTTTTTTTTTTTTTTTTGAGACAGTCTCACTCTATTGCCCAGGCTAGAATACTGTGGCATCATTCTAGCTCACAGTAACCCCAAACTCCTGGGTTCAAGAGATCCTCTAGCTTCGGCCTCCCAAGTAGCTGGGACTACAGGCACCTGCCACAGTGCCTGGCTCATTTTTTAATTTTTAGTAGAGATGGAGCTTTGGTCGTGGCTCAGGCTGGTCTAAACTCCTAAGCTGAAGTGATCCTCCGATCTTGGCCTCCCAGAGTGCTAAGATTACAGGTATGAGCCACCATACTCAGCAAAAAAGGAATCAATTTTTTCTTATAAACATTCTCAATATATTTGATTCCAATTTTTTTTCCTTTTTTTTGAGGCAGGCTCTAGCTCTGTCGCCTGGGCTAAAGTACAGTGGTGCCATCATGGCTCACTATAACCTCAAACTCCTGGACTCAAGTGATCCTCCTGCTTCAGTCTCTCTTCTGAGTACCAGGGACTACAGGCACGTGCCATCACTTCTGGCTTTAAATAAATTTTTTTGGTAGAGATAGGGTTTTGCTACTGCTCAGGCTGGTGGAACTCCTAGCCTCAAGTGTTCCTCCCAAATTGCTAGGATTATAGGTGTGAACCACCACCCATGGCCTGATTCTACTTTTAGAAGAGAAAGTGTATTTCCTACGGTCTTTATAACATTGCATTTTACCTTTCGGCATTACAAACCCTCTAAAGAGGATATAAAAGCAGAACTGACATTCTTCACATTGCAGATTTATAAATTTAAGGGGTCTATTACTATCATTTAGAGCATTTCTCTATTCTATTAGAGATCAAATACAGCAAAAACTACTGGTGAAGAGGAAAATAGATAAGTTGCTTTGCTTCCATTCGAAATGTCACTACAGAAGAAGAGCAAGAACAAAATGCCAGTAAACGAGGTGTTTGCTTGATCTAAATTTTATTGGTAAAACTATTCAGTTAAGACAATGGCTTAAGAAAAAAAATGTGATGCTGTTTCTGCTTTTCTGAATCCCACTGGATATAGAAACTATATTACTAAAATGAATTTGAATGTTTATATAGTATTAAATGTATCTTTTCAATTTTTATCATTTTCAATTCTTTGCAGATACTCTTACCTGAAGAGTTGTGATTGTTCACGTTTAATTTTTAACTCCTGCTGCAAATGACTCAATTCTTCTTGTACTCTCTGAAATTCAATTCGTTGACTTTTTAACTGCATGTTTGCATCCTGAATTCTGAAAACATAAACAAACAACATCCATTACAAGCTTAAATATTCTGTCATAATTACTATTTTAAAATTAAAATGTAAGTATACTTTAAGTCATTTGAAGAAAACGATGCCTTTTTATGTATATGGTATATGAATGTATAGAAAAATTATGGAGAGACACATACAATCATTATCTGTGGGGAAGACAGTGAAAATTATGGGCGGGGGAGAAAGTAAAGACCATTCAGGGCTTCCCCCTTGGATTCCCTGCATCTGCTGCTGGAGGTTCTGGTCACCCTCTTTTACTTATGATGTTTATCAATCTTTCTCCCTGTCAATAAACTCTATCCTTTCACTTAAAAAAAAAATTACTGAAAAAAAAAAACCTAGAACTTTTACTCTGTATCTTTTATCTTGCTCAAATTTTTATAGTAAACATGTATACATAAATACTAAGTAAAATGTAACTAAACTATTTATTTTTTACTAGAGTAATATAGGAACATAATTTAAAATGTGAAATATTGTCATTTTAGTTCATTTTGTATTGCTATAACAGAATACTTGAGGCTGGGTAATTTGTGAAGAAAGAAAGGTCTATGTTGCTCATGATTCTCATGACTGGAAAGTTCGAGATTGGGCATCTGCCGTGGTGGAGGTCTCGTGCTACTTCCAATCATGGGCCAAGTAGAAGGACAGTAGGCATGTGCAAAGAGACCACAAGGTGGGAGAGGAAGCAAGAGAAAGAGAACCCAGGAAACCGGATTCTTTTAAAATTCTCACCAGCACTAATCTATTCCCACAAAAGTGAGAACTTAACCCCAGGGAGGGTTTAATATATTCATGACGGATCCACACACATGACCCAGACATCTCCCACTAGACTCTATCCCCCAACACTGTCACATTGGGGATCAAATTTCAACATGAATTTTGACAGGGAGAAACCACGTTCAAACCAAATCATTAAATTACCAAAAAGATTATAAGAACAAATAGTAATCATTCACCTTTACCCCAATTCCAACTGTCAAAGGCAACTACTTTCAACTTTTTTCTGCTTCTTGTAGTATATATCTCCGTATCACTAAATGACATGTTAACACTGACATTTCCCAATATTTCATTTTAGACATTATTCAATGAATTATAAGTCAGTTAAGATCTAATTCTGCTGCACATAACTGAGACTTGAATAATTGAGAGCTTATATACATATAATCTCACAAAACACAAATGTATCGCAAACCAGTCCAGAGAGGAAACAATAGCTTTATCATGTCAGCAGGGCCCCAGATCCTTCCAACTCTCTGATCTGCCATCTTTGGTGTGTGTACTTTATTCTCACAGTCCGTGGTTGTGGCAGAAGCTCCAATCATTACATTTCCATTCCAGAACCACCAACAGCAGGAGAATAAAGGCCTACTGTCCATTTTTTTTTTAAGTCAATCTGCTCAACGTTTCCCTGAATACTTCTACTAAACTTGGATACAGGGCCACACTTAGCTGCTTGTGAAGCTGGGAGGAAGGGAGATTAGCCCTCAAATGCATTTGTGATTCTCTTACTAAGCTAAGGATCTAGTAGAAACTGATCCTCCTACATATACTTACATACACATCCTTTCTTCCCCTCATCCTTCGAATACAGTTCAATCAAACCCCTTTCATTAAATTATCTTCAGTATTTACATTTTTCTTCATTACCTGAGTGAGCCACTCGATACCTTCAGATGTAGCAGATAATCTTTCCACACTATTTCCTTTCCAGGAGGCAGTCTTCCTGGAGCTCTCCATTCCCTGCTCTAGTCTGGTTTGATGACATGGGACTTCTGCTCCCTGTCATTTCAGGAATTATTTTCATCTCTCTTTCATGCCCATTCTCTTCACTCTGGTTCTGAAATTTCCTCCCTTCTGGATTTATTCCTTTTAGTATGAGTTAAAACAAATTTTCTGTGCATGGGGGGAGCTGTAAGTTTGAGATGCTGAGTGCTTGAAAATACCTTTTTTATCTCAAACTGAACAGTTTGGCTGAATATAGAATCATAGATTAAAAAATATATTCAGCAGTAAATTAGGGCACTGTTCCACTGTTTCCTATCTTCCAGTGCTGCTGCTGAGAAGTCTATGACACTCTCGTTTCTACTTCTGTGTGTGATATATAGTAGTTTCCCTTTTTGATATGGTTTAGACGTTTGGCCCTTCCAAATCTCATGCTGAAATTTGAGCCCCCATGTTGATGTAGGGCCTGGCTTGGTGCCCTCGCTGCAACAATGAATGAGTTCTCACTTTATTCCTTCCTGTTCATGTGAGAGCTGGGTGTTTAAAGGAATCCGGCAGAATCCCCTCCCTCTCTTGCTCCTTTCCTCACCCTATGACCTGCCTGCTCCTCCCTCACCTCCTCCATGGTCAGAAGCTCCTGGAGCCCTTGCCAGAAGCAGACGCTGGCACCATGCTTGTACTGCCTGCAGAACTGTGAGCCAAATCAACGTCTTCTTTATAAATTTTGCACCCTCAAGTATTTCCTTTATAGCAGTGGAAATGGACCAAGACACCTTTCCTAACCACACTTCAGATGCTTTTTCTTAAAGAAAAATTTTTCTCCTTTCACTTGAGAGTCTTCAGTTTGATCACAATGTTATCATGTTAGTGAATCTTTTGTAATTCTCTGTGCTGGGCACTTAGTGAGTACTTGCATTAGAAAGAAATGTTCTTCAGTCTTAGAAATTTTCCCCCAAGGAAGAATGATTCCTTCTTGTCCATTCCTAGAAAAAAAAAATGTTTCTTTCTATGATATTTTTTACTATTTTGGTCATGGGAACTCCTGGACAGATTTTCTAATTTTCTTACCTTTTGGCTATCACTTTGCCACTTTTGACTATTACATTATCTTTCATTCTGCCTATTAAAATCTAATTTCAGCTAACATAGTCTAACTACCAAGACTTCTTTCTTGCTCTACAAAAGGCTCTTTTCTTATGACCCCCTACTCTTGTTTCATGGATACAATTCTTTGAGGATATCCATTCTCCACCTTGCCATACTGCTTCTGGTTTTGTTTTTCTTTTTTTCTTTGTTTTGGTTTTGGTCTTTCACATTTGAGGCTTTCCTCGAAAGCCTGGTGATGCTTTGTTGTCTACTTATATTTAAGAATGAGGTACTTGAAGGACAATTGGACCAATCACACCAAAGTAAATAGGAATAAAATAGCAGGTAGACTAAGATTTGCTTTAAGATACTTCAGCAAAGAAAAAAATAGGAACGGATAAAACAAACATGATAAAACCTTGAAAAATTTAAAATATATGTTATTGAGCATTTACTATTTTCTTCTAAAAACCTAATAAGGAACTGAAATGCTGTCTGTAAGCCTCTGTTGAGGGGGCAGGTAGGCTTTGGTTATTGTTAAGTGATGGGCTTCACTGTGGGTAGGTCAGGGGAGGTTTTCCTCTCTATCCAGTCATTTTGGATCTCTTAATAAAGTTCTGGGAAATAAGGGAAAGTACCAGGGGATGTCATTGTTCTGAAAGTCAGCTTAATCTCCCTGTTTTCTTTTCACCACCTCTCTTCCACCACTCTCCATCCTTAGCTATGCCTAGTGTCACTGAGAGCAGAGAAGAAACACCTAGTCTTCTGCTAGGGTCAGGGAAAGGTAATTACATGTCTTAGAGGAAATGGGTTGGGAAACATAATCTGGAAGCCTAAATGCATCTTTAAAATATTTTAACCTTGTAGTTTTAGCCCCACTTAATATCTTGGCAAGTATTTCTCTTAGCATACTAAGAGAAAAAAGTCAGCCAACTGTTATTTATAGGAGTCACAGCATTAAACAAAAATTGACAGAGGAATGTAGAAAAATAAAAGGTTATAAAAGTATGTAGCAGATTCTTTAAAAATGATACAATATATAATATTAATGTAATAACTAGCAAGAGCATTAAATGGAACTGAGAACATTTTATTTTAATAAAAGCCCAATCACCAAGAAATGGCTTCAGAATACATGTATAAACAAAAATATGTTAAAAATATGAGAAAAAATTAATAAACATAAAGAGAAGTATTAACACTTTTCTCCCAGAAATGGAAAAGGTCATAATAACATGAAAATAGACAAATATCTTAAAGATTCAATAACAAAATTAACAAGATTGGTATAAGAACTTTTCCAAAATACATAGTATAATCATGAAGATTGAACATGTTATTGGCCACAGTCAAGATACTAGCATATTCTTTATTATTATTATTATTATCATTATATTGTTTGGGATTCATTGAGGGTACAAAGAATTAGGTTATACTGATTGCATTTATTAAAGTCCCTCTTATAATTGTGTCCTGCCCCCAAGAGGTGTGCTATATACTGTGACCCCTCATCCCCACCCTTCTACCCTCTTCCCATTTTCTCATTCCCCTACCCACCCTCTTGTATTAGTCATCTACTGCCTTCATATTAGAATTGAGTACCTTGGATTCTTGCTTCTCCATTCTTGTGATGCTTTACTAAGAAAAATGTGTTCTATCTCCATCCAGGTTGATACAAAAGATGTAAAGTATCCATCTTTTTTAATGGCTGCATAGTATTCCATGGTATACATATACCAAGCTTGTTAATCCATTCCTGGGTTGGTGGGCATTTAGGCTGGTTTGCACATTTTGGTGGTTGTAAATTTGAGCTGCAATAAACAGTCTAGGGCAAATGTTCTTATGATAAAATGATTTTTTTCTTCTGGTTAGATGCCTAGTAATGGGATTGTAGGATCAAATGGGAAGTCTAATTTGAGTTCTTTGAGGATTACCCTTACTTACTTCCAAAAAGGCTACATTAGTTTGCAGTCCCACCAGCAGTATAGAAGTGTTCCCTTTTCATCTATTTCTTCTTGATTAAGTCTAGGGAGAGAGTGTGATTCCACGTATTGATCTGTTTCCTTCACATTGTCAAATTTCCGAGCATAGAGTTTCTTATAGTACTCACAGATGATCTCTTGTATCTCTGCGGCATCTGTTGTTATTTCCTCTTTA